ATCTGTTCTTTAAAAAATAGGGACAAGAGCATATCCAATGCTCATTACTTGTTAGATACTTGTATGTACTTTTAATTGAATGCATAGCAAGTTTTTGCCATTCATTTTTAAAGTTATCATGCCAAGATGGTGATATTCTTTCATGTAAGAGTAATTGATATCATTGTAACTGCATGGGTAATAATTTTTTAGCTAAAATATAACAAACAAGGTTAATGCAAGGCTGATTAAACTTGTATAAATAGTCTCTTTTTAAAATACGCCAATGAGACTCAATAATTATTGTTGTGCAGATTACTAAAATTTTTGGTAAAGCAAATAGTGCCCAAAGCGACCATCTATTCTAACGGTACTATTCGTACCATAAATATGACCATATGTGTAACAAGTTTTTGTGATAACAATAGTTGAATATTTCATGAATAGACTGCATCCATATTTTATGAGGTGATGTAATGAACTCTTTATCGGCAGTAGGTATCAACATATGATGGTGAAAATGAGTTTTTATAAAATCTAGTACATTTTTTCTTAATTTAGCCTTAAGAAAAACCTTATTGTATAAAACTTCATTTGTACTCGTACATCGAAAAAGATCTTTATTCCACATAGGATCAATCACAGGACATTCATTATACATCTTATTTGCATCATAACAGATATTTATTCCTTTTATAGTTGAAGAAAGTTTTTGCTCTATGGCACGTTTAATGTGCCATTTACATAATTGCACTTTAATATCCTTCCAAATAGCTTGTGCACTAGAGATCTGTGAGAAATCTTTATCAGACAGTAATATTTTTACATTGTTAATGTTCATATTTGAGATAGCTTTAAACCATTTTGTCAGAATCATACATATATCACGATTCCTGCCATTTGAAATATACAGATAGCTTATTGGAAACCCTGTACCATCAAGAACTGTTAGAATTGAATAAAGCTCATGCTTAAGTTTAGTCATATTATAGGTGGCATCAACAAGTAAAACGTCAAAAGCCATTTTAGGCAAATTGGTGATAAATGGTGTTATTAAAGCAAATGCTTCTATTGGATCATCTATTTCTAAGATAATTTTATAATTTTTTTTGTTTAATAGTGACTGAAGTTGATTATTTGCTCACTTATATTTCGTAACAGCATGATATGCCCACCAATAATATGCCTGATCAACGGTGAATAATTCATAACCATTTAACTTTTCAAGAATAATTTGTTTATATAATTCAGGTGCTGAATAAACTAAGTTTTCTTTAATATATTTTTTAATCTCATTAGTAATACCTATGTGTTGTGGCCGTGGATGCAAATAAATATGATCTAATATTACTGATGCTAATTTATTTTGTAAATCAACTCCAACAAGAATAGCACCTTTACAATCATAACAGTCCAATCATAACTCTGTATTGCGTTGCTTAGAACTATCTAAAACTTTTGTTGTTTTTTTTTCTAGCTCTTGGCGGCAATTGCACCAATAAGTGAAGGTTGTGCTTTTTGTTTGTTTATTATAATACTTCTTATGGTAAACATAAGAGTATCTGTCACCTTTCTCACAAAGCTTTACAATTTCAGTTGCTATTAAGTTGGCATGTGATTCATCAATGTTGCTTTCTAATTTGTCAATACGATCTGAAAGACTTATAGTTATATAAAGATCCAATCAAGCATTTTCTTCAGTATTATCCATAAGTTTGTTATAAACAATATCTTCAAGATCTTCAAGTTCTATAGCATTCTCTTGCATTTCATGAATATCATTCGTATTTTGCTCTTGATGTTTTCGTTTTTTTCCTTGATTTATATGAGTTAAGCATTCGATACATGTTTTTTTATTATTTTCAAACTCATTATTTTGTTTTATTTTTCGACAGAATGAACATTTTTTTGAGTTCGATTGGATTGAATAATCAGCTTCCATTAATTAAATTTTCACAAAATATTTGGTAAGAAAGAAAATTTTAAATAATCATTGTTATAGTACTATATTATAAACAGATATCATCATAAATAACTAATATACAATTGCATCATTATATTTCAGACAATAATTTTAAACAGCAATTACGTAACTGATTTTGGTGGTCATGCTAGGTTCGTGGTAGAGAAATGTAATCGGAACCAAGTTTGGATGCATAATATAGCGTGATGGGTGATAAATTAGTATTAATTAAAAATAAAAAAGTATAAGGTAGCAAAGCGAAGCATAAAAAATTAATGATATAAATGATGTAATTAGTATATAATATAAAAGGTAAAAAAATAAATATTTTTAATACGATGTATATCAATATATAATTTTAAAAGCAATATATTCATTAAAGACGGTATTTCAAACGAAGGTTCCCTTGAATTAGATTTACAATAAAGAACCTATTAGTGTTTAACCCCGCGACAATATAATTGTAAATCAAGCATTTCGGCATAAAACTTAATATGTAATATTTTTGCAGTTTAATAATGCTGATATATTTCGAATAATCGTATGATATTGTACGTGCATACGTTGTACGTAAGATTTTTCTTTAAATAATTAAAGGCTACTGATGTAAAATGCATATTTTGTTCGTGTTTACTTGAAATAGATAATCTTTACTTTCAAACTATCGATAATTCTGACCTCTATATTAACGATGA